TGATTCTTTATACTTGTAAAAATATCTGACAAATTTAAATAATTAATTTTGAAGTCTATAATAATGTTTTGCTTTAGTTTAAAATGTGTTTAGTATTTTAAACTGTTTTTGGTTTTATATATACACGACAAAATTTTATTTAATAATATTGAGATTTACTAATTTTAAACACAAAAAAAACAATCTAATCTAAAAAATAAAAGACAGCAAAATATTTAAGCATAGTTTAATCTAATGTCACTTAAGTTATATAATATATAAAAAAAAATAGCTGTGGAAAAACTTTGTTGGGTTCATTAGATAGAGAACACCAAGGTGTATCAATTTTTGTAACTCTGAAATCAATGGGTACTCATATTAAAGAGTTATTATTTAGGGGGAAAAAAGCTTCAAAAGAATCAATTTCAGCAAACTATAAAAGTTTTTTGTAATTTTAAAAAAAAAAATGCCATTTTTGACGACACATACCAATGGTATCTGATAGTAAAAAATGAGTTAAGTTATCACTGGGTAACCCTCTATTAGCACTATAAAGAGCTGTAAAATCATATTACCAGTTTTAGCCAATAAAACGAGTTAAATTAAAGCAACAGAAATTTTGAGGCTTCCAAATGTAGCCAATGAAAATCAAATATTATGATAATTAAAAGATAAAATCTAATTGTAACGTGGATAGCCAATGACTAATTAATATTACTGGTTAATGACCAAAAGCTCTAGATACATTTGTGAGTAGTAGAAATTATACACTACCCCCAAGACTTAGGGCTAATTCTAAAAATTATTTTATTAGTATAAGGGAAAATTATAAATAGAGTAGAATTTTTCTAGTCTTGGGGAAATCATCATCAAAATAATTTTTTTTTTCGATTTAATAGTAGAAAGCCTTAATTCACAATTCATTTATGGAGTATTAAATTTTCTAAAGGCTTTACAATATATTTAAATAAAAAAGAAAAGATTAAAATATCTAATGTTTCAATGTTGGGAGCAACAATTTTTTAATAACAAAAATTGACTATAGTTAAATTAGCTAAAGTAATCAGATGGATTAAATCTTGATTTATCTTAAACGTTTATTTATTAATTTAAAAATAAAGATACATTATGTTAATTATAACATTTATATCTACTGAATTATATATTAAAAAACACAATTCCAATATTAAAAAA